GTCATCATTACACACTGCAAATGTGCACTAATAAAAAATCTGAAAGGGCAAAACCACAAGTGAAAAAAAATGTTTTTCTGGGACATGGATCTGAGCAATAGAAACAGCAAGTGTGTCTACATGTGAAATAATGTTATATACAATAATAAAAATTTAGCAACTATGACAGAGGAATTCTGGTGAATTGACACCTGGTGGTCAACTTTTAACACCCAGCTGAACTGAAGGAGTGTGGTGCTGGGTGTGCAGGGTCCACCTGAGGATTGTTACCAACAACATTAAAAAAAGAGAACTGGAGAGGAAGAAGTGGGGGCTGTTGGTTCTCCTGGAGGAGCTTGTCATGCTGGCCTTCCTGATATGAATTCAGCTGTTCTCATTGTCAGAGGAACCTGGGACCTTGTTGTCACTGAGAATGGCTGCGGTTCACTTTGGGGGAGCTCTGGTCTTTACTTTGAGCATTAATTTCTGGCTCTGGAAGAGCTCAGGACTTCGTTGTCACTGAGGATGGCTGTGGTACTTTTTGGGGGAGCTCTGATCCTTACTTTGAGCATTGCTTCCTGGCTCCAGTGCAGATACCTCAGCCTGGTGGCACAGATCTTTCATCCCATTGGCACAGACTTTCTGGCTTCCACCACTGACCTTTGGGCCTTCCCAGCACAGATCCATGAAACAGATTTGCATGAGACACTGTCATGGGCCCCAGGCCTCCAGTGAGACTCGTGGGGGGCACTGTCATGGGCACTAGGTCTTCAGCTGGACTCATGCAGGACATGGTTGTGGGATCCAGGCCCTCAGCTGGATTCTTTGGTCTTTAGTGTGTGGACAGGTTTCCTGTACTCTTTTGCACTTGACTCTCTGGGTGACTATTATAAAATAATCCTATAAATTGTATGTCCTGTATTAAACTGTTCCCCTTGCAAGCCCTGACTACAACAAGAATCAATGAGTTCTACTCTCTCACTGTTATTGTTTGTTCCTCCAAAGCCTCATGCAGTCATCGGGAGGAGGCTTCTAGAGTTTTTGATTGATTCACAGTCCAATGCTAGGATTACTCACCCGGAGTAGCTTGCATATAATATAAAGGAAGGAAAGAGGTTTGCTCTCTGCTGCTCCTCCCTTTTGCTCTTGCTGCTTTGGTCGTTTTCTGCTGCCATGAACTGTTGCCCTCTGCCATGTGCCACTCTGCCTTGGAGCCAGCCAAGTATGGACTGAAACCTCCACAAACTATGAACTAAATAAACCTTTCCTTACTTAATTCTGGGTGTCAAGTATTTTGTCTCAGCAATGAGAGAAAAGTAACCAAGACACACTATCATAAGAAAAGATGAGTAAAAATGCATAGCTAAGAAAAAGAATTACAGAAGTATGTCAGGTAATTAATTAGAGAAATATGTCAAGTAACTAATAAATGTATTATTTTTCTCATCTTAGTTATATTTGCATTACTGGTCATTTTTTTCACATCTGTACTTATGTGTAAATGATCACTTCATAAATTAAATTTTTATCCATGTACTCCTTTTTTTTTTTCCTTGAGGTAGGATCTTGGCTGGACTCAAACTTATGGGCTCAGGGCTTAGCCTCCCAAGTAAGTGGGACTACAGCTGAGCACCATCAACACCACACATGGTTATATATTCTTTTCCTTAAAGAGCCCCCTTTCCCTCAAAACTGTACAGTATATGCTTCAGGGCCCCTTAATAAAGTATAATTAATGCACTCAAACATTTGAGCATCTATTCTGAATTAACAAGTCTAAACACGTAGGGACACAGGAGTTTCTAAGACGGAAAAGTCCTCCTGGTATGATGGGTCAAAACATAGAGGGAAACATGTTAAAACAGTGTGGTCAGTTACCTGGAGGAAATAAAGTGAGGATGACAGAAAGGAACTTGCAGGTAGTGGGGTGGGGAGAAGGCCACACCAAAAAGACCACACTCAAGCCCTCCAGAACATTCTAGTATATGTGACCATCACTGCTAGGAGGCCCACACCAAGTCCTTTCCTTACATTGTCTCATTTACTGCTCACAGCACCTTGTGCAGTTGGCATCATGCCCGCCCTACAGATCAGGAACTCAGGACCAAAGACGTTGGCAGTTATTCAGCTTGCAGATGGCCTCAACCCCACCCTGATTCCACGGCATGCACAGGGCACACTGAGAGGGAACTTAACCCAGAAAGTGAGACGACCGAGGAAGCAACTAGTGCCATCTGCCCACTACAGTCAAAGAGCAGAAAGGAGGCGGAGGGGGCAGCTGCTACCCTGTCCTGCAGCAGTCTCGCACGCACAACAGTGGGCCTGAGGCTACACAGGGTGCAGGAAAGCAGGAGGATAACAGGCACAACAGAGTAAAGGGTAAGTGTGGCAAGGCCCCAAGACAGCTGAGGAGAGGCAGCCTGCAGTTTGGCTGTGAGAGACCCAGGAGGCCACTGGATGGAACCAAATCCACAAAGGTTTGCAACCGGGCTGTGACATAACCAAACACTCTGGAAAACAATCAGGAAGATGGGCAGGGGAGCAGAGAGATGAGATGAAGCAAGATTCACCACTGTGTCCTACAGCATGATAGTGTCTTTCTGCTTTTGAATTTATATTTGTACTAGGGACTGAACCTAGGGCCACTGCACTGAACTACATCTCCAGCCCTTTTAATTTTTTATCTTTATTTTGAGACAGGGTCTCACTAAGTCCCTGAGTATCCCAGGCTGGGCCTGAACTTGTGATCCTCCTACCTCAGCTGCCCAGACTGTGCCAGACTGTGCCTGGCTGCTTTTGAATTTCAAAATAGCAGTAAACTAACACACTTCCCTCTGATCCTGTTTACATTCTCACTTATTTTTTTACAGTACCATAGGTGCTGTGTAACACAACATCTTCTATATTAAGGCATATTTTAAAACATATATTTATGGATCAAAATGGTTTAAATTTTGAGTGGAGGGAAAAACAGGAATGGGCTAGTCTCCAATCATGTTTATCTTATGGATGTAACACGGTTTGCTTATCAGATTGTTTTCAAAAGTGGGATTCCAAAACCAAAATCTTTATCACACACTACTAATTGCTCTCTAAAAATACTGCACCAAAGTTACCACCAACATAAATGCTCCCCAGAAAATCATCAAACTTTATCATACTAAATTCTATGGAACCCTCAACTTTTCAACTTCCGTTGCCACTATAAAGCCAATCCCAACACTGGCAAATATACTACAGTAAAATGATTCTACACATCCCCACCTCAGAGAACTGGACCACAATCACAACTTTACAACGGGGTTGTGTCTGTAAACCTAAAACTACCGTGCGAACAAAGTTCATGGTAACTGCGTAAAAGGGAAAGCTGGCAAGCTAACAAGAAAGTGGGTGATGGAACAACATGAAAAAACTGAAAGAGTAAGCAGCAATGAAAGAATCTGTTCCTGTCTGAATACAGACAATGTGCTGACGTGACCAAAGCAGGTGTGTTTGCAAAGCAAGGAGGAAACTGAATTCCTTGGGGCCAGGGATTTCACTGGGCTTGCATGGAATTATCTATGCATTGCTTTGCCAATGCAGCTCACATCCTTTTCTCCAAGCAGATAGCTCTGCTTAATTATTACCTAATTCACTTTCAGTTGCCTTTTTAATTTTTTTTAAAGGCAGTACAAAGAACCAAGCCTATGTAGCACTGAGCTTACCTCCTCAGCCCTTTACATTTATTTACTTTTTGAATTTTGAGAGAATCTTGCTAAATTCCCAGGTTGGCCTCAAACTTGCATTCTTCCTGTCTCAGTCAACTGTTTCTGTAAATAGGGTTGGTGTTCCACAATCTGCTCAGATCAATCTTCTACCTGACAATAATAATCATTACTGTTTTTTAGAAACTTGCCATTTACTGGGAATTAATCTTCTACCTGACAATAATAATCATTACTGTTTTTTAGAAACTTGCCATTTACTGGGAATCCTGTTAACACTCCCAAGCCAGGGCTGGGGATCAAACCCAGTGCCTCACACGTTCGAGGCAAGTGTTCTAGCACTGATCTGCACTCCTAGCCCCAAAAGCTTTTTAAAAATGATTCCGTGTTCTCACAACAACCCTAAGAGCTAAGTAAATTTTAAGCCCATTTTGTAGAAAAAGAACCAAAGGCAGGTATAATGGCATATACCTTATATGGACTTCCTCCTTGGGAAAGGAATTAGTAAGAGGAACACAGAAGTCTACTAAGGACTGACAGCAGTTCTGCAGGCAAATGAACAGAAAGCGCTGCAGTTCAGAAAAGTGCAGCATCAGCACCTAGTTCATGAGCAGCAGCTGCATAATAACCATGAACATGAAGCAAGGGCAGAGGCGAAGCAGGGACTATAACTGGCTTTGCAAATACCCCAAGGTGTCACCCTAAACCGGCAAGTCAACTTCTCTGAGCCTTCCTTCCTTGTAATTTAAAATGTTCTGGGTAACCGGGCTACGTCTAGTTCGAAGACTTTAGAGCCGACTAACAGGTATGATGATGTGCTACACAAATGTCTTTTGTTTTCCAGGAACTCACAGGTGTTTGGCCCACAGGTGCAGTTTCACCATGCCTTCCTACTTCAAACACCCCTTCCTCTCATGTCTCAATAACGCTGTCTACAACTTGGTTATCAAATATTTCCACAGTGGTCCACCCAAAAACACCTCGCGGATACCAAATAAATTTAGAGACAATCTCCCTTTACAGATTTAGCCCTGGATTTGAATTCTTTCTATTCTTTCTCAATCCTATGTACTAAGATTATTTCCTTCGATGATTTTTGTTTTTCGCAGCGATTTCTGGACATGAAAGGTCATCGGTGGCTACTGCCACGTGTGTGAGAAGAACGATGTTCATAATCCAGGCTGCGTTTGTGTCACGTCGGGGCACGTTCTAGCCCCCAACTTCAGTGATTTTCGCACAGTAGGCTTCCCACTGGCTTGGGACGATTTCCAGACCTTAGCGGGATAAAAACACTAACAGCGTATACTAGATTCCTACCGTGAAGATGAAACTGAAGACGACGAGACGCGCACGCAAGGAGTGGCTCCACACTTGCCCTTCTGAACTTCCACCTGTGGCTCCCGCCGAGCTTCCGGGGCTGCCTCCTCCGCGGGCAGCCCGCCGGCGGTCCACGCGGGACACCGGTCCCCACCCTCCGCGGGCAGCCTGGCCCAAGCCTTCCGTGGCAGGCTCCCCAAAGACTGGCGTCCTCCAACCAAAACCGCTAAGGAGCCCCGCGCCTCGCCAAGGCCGCAGAGCCCGGCGTGGGCTTTCTCCGGCGGACCGCGACCCTGGGCCCCGCTGCCCGCCCGCGCTGCGAGGCTCAGGACGACCGCACCCGCGCACACCC